CACTTAGTACTTCAAACGGAGGTTCTAAACCCTTAATGTTGCATATCAAATGTTCTTTGGGAGGGCCTTAGGAGTCTTGTAAATCCCTGATACTGCATGCAAAATTGTTTGTATATTCATATGTGGTTTTCAGATAAAATAATCAATACTTCTCATCATATGCAAAGATAATCTTCACCCCAAAATGTTAACAAAAAACAGTAAGTAAACTAGTGAATCTTTTAAGTTTCTAAAAAGGTGATGAGGAAATCTTCCAATGCCTAAAACCTATGTATGACAGTGTCACTTTCCTATATTGTTGCAATATTAACACCAGTAATGACAACGATAGAGCCTCTGTTTTGCAGATTCTATCTATGCTTCATGATCTCATATAGTTCCAGGAAAGGATTTCCACACCCTGAAAATATCTTCCCAAATGTTCCAAAAATACATAAAATCATTTCAATAAGGGCAAATCCATTTGTTCTACAAGTAATAAGATTTAGAATGCAAATGCCCTGGAATATTTGAAGTAAGGCATGAAAAATGACATTCTGTGTTTTGACTAATGGTTATCAGACCTTTTCTGAAAATGACTCTAGATTCTTACACGAGAGACAGCCCAGGTCTGTCATATCTCTCTCAGATCAATTTCCATCTGGTTCATGTTAGATAATCTGGACCTGTTCTGAGGAGAATGAATGACAGAGGAGCAGGGAGCGTTCAGCCTTGCCCGTCCAGATTTTTCCCTAGAGAAACACTTGGCCTATCACCCATCTTCTTCTAAGCTTGATATTCAGAGGGTAGGAGGCAACCAAAGTGTGGGAAATTTTCTGAACCAACTTCTGTTAGCACATTCAAAATGTCCACAATAAAATTATGGCTTCTATTTTTCATCAGCAACTTATATGAAACAAGACTTTCAGAAGATGTCTGTGAAAAACACCCAAAAAGTAGACTTCGTTAAATGCTGAAGCATCACTCATCTTGAACCAGTGTAACATACATGCCAAACACACAAACTGTCACTACGGGAACTATAAAGAAACTGACATCAAATATTTCAGTTTTCTATATAATAATATAATTGTTTATCCCCTTTTCTAAGACTATTGTAGAGCTATGAGCTTTCTTAGAAACCATTGTGTTTCAGACAGGTTTCATGTAATATGTTAGTCAACTTTTCACCACTGTGACAAAATACTTAAGAAGAACTTAAAGAGAAGGAAAGACTTATCTTGACTCACAGTTTCAGAGTTTTTCGGTCTGTGGTTGGCCAGCGTCATTGCTCTAGGCCCTAAGCTCTAGGTGGTAAGGCATAAACATCATGGCAGTAGGGGAAAGTTGCTCACCTCAGACAGGGACAGGGACCAGACATAGTCCCCAAAGTCTTGCCTCTCAATCTCCCTTCAACAAGGACCTACCTCCTATTTTCAATCCATCAATGAAGTCAGAGACTTCATGATCCAATCGGTTTGAGAGGCTTATCAGTAACCAAACCTTTAATATAATAAGGTTTTGGCAAGGCATATTAACCCCAGCTCTCACATGTATTCTCCGCATGAAGATTGTTTTTATAAAACAATATAAAGCAGTGGCAGTACTATGTAATAATTGGAATCTCAACTTTATTTACTTAGCAAATTAGTATGAACTATCCTGTTGCTTTCCTAATTACTTTGGTTGGCTTAGTTTGCTTTCTTTTTTATTACAGTAATTAGTACATATTAATTGTGTACATAATAGGTTACATTATTATATTTCCATACATGTATACAATATGCTTTGATTATATCCACTCTTCCTATTGCCTGCTTCTCCCTCTTGTCCTTCCTGTCCCCTTCCCCTTCTCTAATAGTGGTTTGTTTCATTTGTGTCAAGGGACAGAAAATTTGATAGAGCATACTTAGGGCTGCCAGATACAATACAGAAGGACCACTTAATTTTGATCTTTTTACCATAATAATTACTTATTTTTAAAATATTTTATTGGCAAACAAAAAAATATATATATATATTCAAATGTATAATGTGATAGCTTAATATATGTACATAATCCCTAATAATTACCACAATACAATTAACATATTACCACCCACAGTGTGTGTTTTCATCTGTATGTGTGTGTATGCTGAGTACAAAAAGTCTTTTCTCATACAATATCAGTATATAATATATTACAAAACTAACTATAGTCATCATATGTCTCCAGAAACTTAATCATCTTATAACTAAAACTTTGTACCCTCTGACTGATATCTCCCCATTCCCACCACTTCTCCAGCTCCTGGAAACCACTGTTATCTTCTCAGTATCTATGAATTATTTTTTCTGAGATTCTGCACACAAGTGAGATCAAACAGTATTTGTCTTTCTGTGTCTGACATATTTTTCTTTGCACAATGTCCTATGTTTCAACCACACTGTCAGGATGGCAGGATTTTTGATTTCCTTCTTTTTTAAGGGATTAATAATAATCTTTTTTAGGGAAGAATCCTCATTTTCTCCACCCATTCATCTTCTGAGGGTCACTTGAATTGCTCCCATCCCTAGACCATTGTGAATAACACTGTGACAATATCAGAGTACAAATATCTCTTTGAGCTTTAGTTCTTTGGGGAATAGACCTAAGGATGCAGCTGGTAGTTTTGTAGCAGATGCATTGTTTTCATTCTCATCAATAGTGCACAAGGGCTACTTTATCTACATCCTCATCCACACATTATTTTCCATCCTAATGGGTATAAATTAGTATTATATTGTGGTTTTCATTGCATTTCCCAGATACCAGTTACATGCATGGAACCATGTGTTTACTAGCCATTAATAAATCCACCATAGTAAATACTTGTTTCAAGTCTTTTGCCTTAAATATGAATTTCAAATAAACAATGAATTGAGTTGGATTATAGACCTCACACAATATTGGGACTGTATGTGCATTAAGAACAATCTCTTATTTATCTGAAACTCAATTTTAACTTGGTGTCCTATGTTTTTATTAGATAAATCTAACAACATCAGAAAATGAGAACTTCAGTGGTCCTAAAACAATTTTTAAATATTTCACAATTGTGCTAAGGTGAGCTCTGTAAGAGTTTAGGGTATTTTCGTGAGTGTTTTGCTGGTAGCCCTGCTTTATTACAAAATTGTAATTTCATTTTGAGATCTTCCAGACTAAATCATTTGAGCTTCACACTCTTTGTGTAACATTATTGGACTCCCTTAATGAAATTATAACTCAAGCAAGATATTTCATTCTCTTATAGTAAATTAGCTAGGGCTGGTAGAGTTCAGGGAGAGCAAATCCTTTCCCAGGTTTATTCTTGTTTGGTAGAATAAAGAAAGAACAGGCATTGTATATCTGAGTTATTTATTGTTCTCTTTGCTGAACATTATATTGTTGCCTGTCCCTACTGGAGACAACAGCTGTTAACAGGCTCCTGAATGAATTTCAGTGTGAACTCCACTGGCCCCTGGTAAATTTGGCTAAAGAAAAAACAGGCTCAACCTCCGAAGAGCAAGTTTCAGGCTCATTCTGGATGCCTGAAGGCCATGAGCATATAAAACCACTAGCAAGCATTTTCATGAGAAATCACACTTAAAACAAGACACACAGTACCAAAGTATAAATGGTGCAAAGCAGTTAAGGTCTTGATAGCCAATCTTCTCAGCAACTTGAACAACAGGAGACAAGTAGAGGCACACAGCTGTAATCCCAGCATTCTGGGATGTTGAGGCAGGGTCGTCACAAGTTTGAACCTAGCCTGGGCACCTTGGCAATTTAACGAGATGCTGCCTCAAAATAATAAAAAATAAAAAGACTGGAAACATAGCTCACTACAAAGGCCCTGGCTTCAATTCCCAATACCACCAAAAAAAAAAACAGAAATACAAGAAGTGACTCTGTTACACGTTTGTACCACACCAGATAAGTAGTGGCACTATTTCCATCTACAGCCTCTTAGTAAATATGCTGAAGATTCATACTGAAACACAGAGAATCATGCAGACTTCACAGGGATCAGTGTGCAGATGGTAGTCCTAGAACCAAGGGCACTCCACATTCAGTGCCCCTGGTAGGTTCTTTGTCAGGAAAATAAGTTCCATGTGGACAAAGACTCCCACCTTCTGCCATTGAATGTAATCATGAAAATTCTAACATAACAAACTTGAAATTTTGCTTGCTTCCTTGGTCTTTTTTTTTCCTCCTAGTAGTTCCTGCAATTATCACTCTATTTAATGAGAAATTACTGTGACCATGGTTGCAAGTGGAATTTCCCACTTTGGTCTGCTTGGCTCAGTGGCCAGTATCCAGGATACTCTGCCAGCCTCACCTTTGCTTTCCTGGTGACCAGGGCTATGGTCAAAGAACAGACCCTGGAACACATTTACACTATCAATTACACTTGACCATTTCCAAGAAGTACTACTATTCAGGCTCTCTGTGCTATGCTGGCCTTACTGCCTTCTCTCCTGTCTTCTGTATCTGCTCAGGCACTCCCAATCAACATAGCTACCATTTTGATAAACTCCCTTTGTCTTTCATGCATTTCAAGCCTATGAAGCAAATTCTCTAGTAAGAAGAACAAAAGTTTTGTCTTTATTTCCACAATGCTTTGTTAATTGTGGAAATGTTTTACTTGTGTTAGTTTCTGACACAATCTTGATATGATGGCTTGGGGCCACCCCCTCTAGTAAGCAGATGCATGGTTGCTACACTGAAAACAATTACATAGACGGGGGGGAGGGATGTGAGCATGAACCAGAGCAGAAGGATGCCAAAACTAACAGAAGAAAGATGAAAATCATAAAGTTCAGAATTGAATGGAGAAGAATTTGATTTGATAAAATGCTGTCAGAAATTCAATAAAAGACTGAGCCAGAATGAAGTGTCTGAAAGCAAAATGACCTTTACACCTCCCTTGTCCAACCCCTCAGTAATAAGAACAAATGAGAGCATTGAGTTTTGCTGAAACTCGATGTCAAAAGCACATTTCCTGTTCTTTTCTTTCCAGACAAAGTCAGCATACTGTCAACCTTCTTCGCTCCATTCAAGTACCTAAGTCCTGGGGCCACAAACACGGAGGATGAAGACAATCTCAGTAAGCAGCTCCCTTTCCCCAAAGAATGGCGAGGTCCTCACTGGATGTGGGAGGTGCCACTGTCCCCAAAGGTTGAGGCTGTGGTAGCCATGTGGAGGGCCTGAGTGTTCATCCCTGACGCAGGAGGTCCCAGGAGATGCGTGCTCCTGCAGTCCTCCTCTTATCTCAAGCACATTCTTACTCAGTGTCATATTCATCTAGTCTCCCCTACTTACCTGGGCACCATTGTCACCTGAAATCCTATCTCTGCTCAGAATCCTACCCTCTCTTGCGGTCCAATGCTCACCTGAAATACCAAATTGGGAGTCCCATGCTCACCTGGGATCCCACCCTCACTTTCAGTCCCACCTTTACTTGGAAGTTCCACCCTCATCTGCAGTCCCATCTTCATCCAGATGGCCCACCCCACTGCAGTACATCTTCAACTGGAGTCCCATCTTCACCTGAAGTCCTGTTTGTCTGGAATTCATTCTAGTTTCATCTGCAGTCCTTCAAACCCATCTTCAATTGCAGCCCCACCTTTATCTAAAATCCTTACCTGTAGGTCCATCCTCAACTCGAATTTCAGCCTCATAATTCACCAAGAATCCCACCCTCACCTGGATTCTAATCTCACTTACTGTCACCTGGAATTTCAACCTCACCTGAGATCTCACCCTTACCATGAAGACAGGAAAACATTACTAATTGTATGACTAAGAACTCTGGGGATTATAGGAAATAAACCAGAAATCTTAAAACAACCACTTCTCTTTCCTTGGTTTTTCTCTTCAAACAAAAGCATAAAGAAAAATTATTCTAGTGTTTTGGAACATGGTCTGTACAATTATTTAACAAGGAAAGAGCTGGACTGGAGCTTACCTTTCAGAATATTTTTGGCATATAAAACTGGATAGAAGTCAAAAAACTATCATCAGGACACTTGATTTTAAACAAAGCTGGCTTAAGGAAGGAATCTGAGCAATCACTTCTGTTTAGATCAATAAAGAGAGCTCACAGCAGATACTCCTGGTGAATGCGAGGTGGTGGGGGAGGAATATATATCCAGGTAATATTTGTCTTGCACTACAGTCTCCTCTTTCTTGTGCCTTACTATCAAGAATTTTAAAAAGGTGGAAAAACATTACAAATCATATGAATACCACCTTGAATTTTAATATCACGAAACAGATGAGCCCCCTTTTCAAATACATTGAGCTAAGAATGTGTTTGGTGTCATGGGATGGGAAGAAGCAAGGAATTTATTGAGGGATGATAGTAGTACTGAGTGGACCAAAACTAAACATTGACAGGGATTTCTAGAGGAATGTTGTCCATTCTGCTATCATCTTCCAAGAGCTACAAAATATCAACATAGACAACACTTCTCCAGACATGATTACTAATACTATTGAAAACTGATGCTAGTTCTCTGGATTGCTCTATCAAAGCCAAGTTATACAGTCATCAAAAGTCAGAACATGAGGAAATATTTGTGATCCTTTGCTTGAATTCCTTCATTTTCTAGAGGAAGGAGTGAAGGGAAGGCAAACAGAAGTCTACTGGAACCAGACCGGAGAGGGGATGGGTGTTGGCTGGTTGATTTGGTTGATCGGTTGGTTAGTTTCGGGCAATGCTAAGAATGGAACATAGAGCTAAGTACTTTACCACTGAGGTACATCCTCAAGTCAAGAGCTCTTGACCTTGGCTTCGAGCTCCTTCCTAGACAAGGCTTATAGGTTAAAGCAAAACCTTGACAAATGATCTTTTCTATCCTCTTAATGATCTAAATCAGAAAATTTCCCAGGTCTGTAAAGGTATTGATTGTTACTCCAGAAATTTTGAGCTGAAACAAAGAGTAATTGAGACGCATATACCAAATTTGTGGCATGCACAGGATTTGATTCCTCTTTATTGCTTGGAGCTGCTAAAATCCTGGCCAAATCTCACCTCTGTAAAGAAAAACTAAAAAAGGAGTTAGAAAGATCTAGAGAATTCAGGAGGAATGAAACAAAATATTTTTCCACTTAACAAATATGCACTAGCTACCTTTTTATAGCAAACAGAGGCTCAAGACCATGAGAAATGCACTGCTCACACATGTAGGAAGTCACTGCTCGGTCCTGAGAGTGATGAGAATCATGCCTCTTGAATGACTTTCTGCCCTTTACCCTGGTGCAGCATATGGACTGACAAAGCTCATTAAACCCTTGTGTGGGATCAAGGCATTCTGGATGTTCACTTACCTCCTGATCTTCTGACCACTCAAACATCATCACAAACCCACCTCTCAGAGCTCCCTGCCTTATTTACAAGACAAGGAGAGTCAACAGCCTGAGGCAGTGAGTGAGGAAAGGCCTGAATGTAAAATATAAAAAACTCCATCAAGGTTGGCTTATTACATGTACATAATCAAATCTATTTTCCCCTAAGTCAGTTAACTGGTTAATGGGTAGAAACTTACAGATCAAAATAACTTTTATTTTTATGTTAAAATACCTTCAAATGCTTGTGAAACTTCATTTTCCATTAATATATTAATGGATTAATTTTGAATAGATACTGTAAATTTACTTAGAAAACTCTATTTTCGGGGATAGTTCAAAGACAAATCTCTAAATTAATTGGGGCCTGCTAGATAGTTCCCTCCAAATATTGCTAATGAGATCTGACCAGTGTGTTACCAAATATCACTGGGAATTAACAGCTCTGTGTGTGTGTGTGTGTGTGTGTGTGTGTGTGTGTGTGTGTGTGAGATGTATGTTGAACATGTATGTGTATTAAGAGTTTGGTGTGTTTGTTGTATTTAATGAGTGTATATGTTTGTGTTATATGTAAATGTGTGATGTGTGCTATTTGTGGATGTGTGTAGTTGTATAGTGTGTATAAGGACATGTATGAGTAATGCTGTACGTAGTATATGGAGAGATGTCTGTGTTCATGATATACATATGGTTTGTGTGATAAGTACATTTGTGTATGTTTGTGTGATGTGGATATCAATATATGGCATAGGTTTTTTGTACATGTGTAAGTGTTTGTATGTGAGTGTATAGCGTGTGGTCTCTGTGCATATGTGTCTGGTATGTGTGTGCATGTGCATGGATGTGTGTTGTCTGTACATATGTTGGTACATGTGTGTTGTGTGTGCATCTGCATACATGTATGTGCGGGAGCAAGAACATGAGTGGCACTGAACATGAGCCTGCACTGCAGCCTTATGCTCCACACTTCTGCATGGACTCAGAGTACCTGGGCTGCAGCAACATAGAGACAACTCATGTCCAGCTTGTGGATTCCACCATGTGGGAATTGCCCATGCTTCCCTGTGGCTATCTGATCCCCAACATCAATATACATCACTGCTTTTGCCTAAAGTTGTGAAAGCCTTGTTTAAAGGTCCTGAGTTGGGTGTCAGAAAAAGATAACCAAGATACACACATGCCACAAACTCACACATCCTCTGCCCAAGGCAAGATGGTATCCAAGAAGTTCCACTGGAAAACACTCATCAGTAGGCTGTGCTTGAGCTTAGAGAGGCCTATGAAATACCATGATTTTAAGACTCACCTGAATTCAGCCTGTAGCTCTGAAAATTTCTCCTTCCAATACTGAAAAGTGATGAGTCTGTCTACCCTTGTTTCCAACCACTGACCCACCCGCTGCCAACTATTGCCCAGATGTCGGGATGTGACCCAGAGTCCAGGCAGAGTGGGCCTTTAAGCTGCAATGCTCACATTTATGTCTTTGGAACTGGAAGAACTCTCCCGCGTACCATTTCTGAGTCCTGTAAACACACACAGACCGCCCTCATGGGATCATGCAGGCCATGTACCAACATGGCAACAATTGCTAGGACTATGATTTCAGACCAAAGGCTCCTACCCTGCAATGTAGCAAATGAGTTTCCTTCTGGTGCTCTGTACACTATACACTGTTCCTCCTGTATGAATGGAAGATCCAGGGCCCTACCATTCTCCTACTGCTAGACCTAGCCTTATAGCGAAAGAGTTGCTCTTTTTTCAAAACTGAGGTCAATCGGCAGCAGAATAATCTTCACCAGAAACAATATTATCTCTTCAAATGTAGCATGGCACATTGGATGGCTGGTTCTCCGAAGCCATCCTGACCCGGCAGTGTCATTATTAGTGATGTATATGATTCCACTGATGCCAACCCAGGATCAGAAGCTGAGTGTGCATAATGACCAGGCAGAGGACAACAGCCCCCATGGAAGCTGAGGAAAGGGTGGCATATGGATAAATCTACAAGCAAGTGCAGCCTTCTGCATATGCATCAGATGGATGATAGCAATGAGACCCCATCCAAAGACCCCAAACTCACCTGGATCCTCCACTTTCGAATGACGGAAACCCAGATAATCAAACTTAATCAGTCCCAAAGAATGTATTTTGCTTGTAAAGTAAAAGTTTAGCCACAGCTATGACAATATAAAATATCACTCTTTTCCCCAAAATACAATTCTTTTATGCATTAAATCTTTAAACTTAGCATTACATTTGCTGACACTTTTGTCAAATGAGATAATGTACTTATGAAGCTCAGGGGAACAGTCCATGTGTGCAAGAAGCAGAATGGAAATAATTTCATTTCACATTTTCCCATATAGATGCTTCCCTGACTTACATATTTTCTTTTAGTGCATGGCAGTCTTTAAATTGCTTGTGATTGTTCTATTACTTACTACTGCCTCTGATATTTATCTAATGTAGTTTGAAGTTATTTGCCTGCTTTTTTTTTTCTAATTTCCGCAACAAATGGACACATGCCACTCTAAAAAAATACCTTACAGAAATCACAGTTCACTGGCACCTTCTTTTAAGATGACGTGAAGCATCAGGCAATTTTCCAGGGCAACAAAGCAGAAGTAAAACCACACATGAGTGTGAGCACTGGGATGCCACCCACCTGGTCTCACTGGAAGTGGGATTCTGCAGGAAAGGGACATGAATTTCCAGTTAAATTTTTTCTCAGGGAAATAAACATGACATGAGCCCCAG